AAACAGGATTGAGCAAAGGGTGACACGAACCGGATAAAATTGTTTGCACTTCCACCAGAATGTATGTCAAGTAAAGTTACAATTTCAGTCTTAATTTAGGTCAATCGGGCAGAAGTAGATTTGACCTATTATTTTATGTGATTGGGATATTCAAAGATGTTATACTCATTCTATGCCCTGTGACCTGTATACTCTTTAACTAGTGTACTCATATAGGCCTCTTTGTATATGTCGGTCTCTCTCTCTCTCTCTCAGTCTCTCTGTATATATATATTGGCTATATATATATATATATATATATATATATATATATATATATATATATATATATATATATATATATATATATATATTAATGTCTGCGTATTCGTATGTGTATGTGCGTGAAAAAGAGACTTACGCAGCGCACTGTCCCTGATTTAGAAACTGATAGGTCGAGGTGAGGTGTTTGACTCTGTAACTTAGGTGGTTATACACCGATGTGACGTAGAATGGTGTGGTCACAGTCATGACGCTGTGGTATCAACACAAAGCTGGTTTTAAAGTGGGATAGGACGTGCACAATGGCGGAACTAGAACCCCCCCCCCCCCCCACACACACATCTCCTTCTGCATCACTATATGATGTAGCCCTATAGAATACCATTTAAAAAATTAATTAACGACTCGCGCTTTTCTTTTTTATTATTTAAATAGTGGTTATTTATTATGTATTTAAAGAAAAGGATTCATTTTTCTTAATATTGCATAATTATATACAGCTTGCTATTAAACCTTTTTTTTTATTTCAAAACTTAAAAATTAACAATTATATTAACAATTTAACAATTAAAGAGAACCACACAACGTCTAGCTGAGGTGGACCACTTAACAGCGTACAATTAAAGTGAACCAATCAAATTTCACTAACGTGACACAACATGGATCCGCTCCTCTACGGCAGGGGTCTCCAAACTACGGCCCGCGGGCCGGATGCGGCCCGCGAGGTCCTCTAATCCGGCCCGCGGAGATCTTTTTGTCCACGGAAAAAACGTTTGTTGGTGATGGCTGAGGAACTTTGCCCAGAAAAATCAAAAACATGCCTGGAAGAAACTGGCCCCCGAACTGAAATTTTATAGTTAATGCGGCCCTCGGACTGAAAAGTTTGGAGACCCCTGGTTTAATACATTAAATTAAGTGGCGATAATCATCAGAAGCATTCAGAACAGATCACTAAAATTAAACATTTAATTAATAATTTAAATTTAAAATGTAATACCTATAGGCCTACCCTAACTAATATATAGGTCTAATAAAACATTTATAATAAACAGATAGGTAAATTTTTCTCTTGTGACGTTTAACTACTAGATCTAGTTTCATAGAATTCAACAAAGGACACTCAGTTCAAAAACCTGATGTGCCGGTATTAATGAAAAACATTTTTAAATTAGCTAAATAATTTTGTCTAGGGTAATAGGCCTACTAATAGCATATAATTAAGATTATAATAATATTACTCGAGGTAGTAAGCGAATTAGGAAAAGGGTGTTTCTTATAAACCGGATGTTGACGATTCTCAAAACAACATACAGAAATCCTAATAGATCTAGAGTCTATTAGTAATCTAACTTACTAATCTAGAATCTAAATCTAGGTTCTTGATTCTAATATAGATTCTAGATCTAGATCTAGAGTCTAGAACATGTGTTGTTTATCTACTCGCGTTAGTTTTTAGCCTTATTCAGAGATCTTTTCAACAACAGTAAAAATCTATTGTTGATTATTGGGTAATCTATCGTTTTAGCGTAATCAATTCGGCTGCAGTAGTAATGTGCGGGAGAAGTAACTGATGAATATATTTGTTTAAATAAGTATATTTAAGTCAAATTTTTACAAAATTTAACAGATAGTTGATTTAAAATAACAATCAGTGACCAAAACAAATTAAAATACCATGAAACTAACTTTAAACATGGTGTTTGAGATAAATATTAGTAGATAAAAACAGCGGCCATCTTTCCAAATAAAATTTAGAGTAGACTCCCTTGATGAAAATGTCTATTCGTATGTATATTGTGTTGACTTTGTTGTTTAATATATATAGCTGTCAATTCTTAGGTCGTCCATATTCCTCATAAATGACGTTGGACTCAAAATATGGGACGAGGTAAAAAAAAAATTAAGTGATACAGAATATATTCGTTTTCGTTAGAAATTGTGATTAAGGGTTCGGGTATAGTAGAACTGCGCAGAGGCGTAACGAGGGGGGGGACATATGTCCCCGGGCGCCGACCTTAGGGGGCGCCAAATTGAAAGTCTGAAGGGGGGGGGGTGCAAATGAAAAGTTCGAGGGGGGGGTGCAAATCGAAAGTTTGTCCCCGGGCGCCGGGAAGGGTCGCTACGCCTCTGGAACTGCGATATGATATTCAATCATCATCTTGCTTTTAGTGATGATTGGGGGAAAGGGAATTTATCGGGAAAAGTATGACGTTATTTATGGGTGATCCATTTAAGCCTAGTTGTTTGTTTGGTCTCTAGACATTAGTCATAGGCCTACACTTTTTCTGAATTAAGATTATTGTGTTTATGAAAATAGGTTTAAATTTTAATTAGTTACATTTGAATACCACATGGTTTTTTTTTCTGCTTTCATCAGTTTATTTTCTTTTTTTCAGTAGTCGATGTTTACCCCTTCCCACCATCCATTATTACAAAAACAAAAAACACCCACTATATAGTGATATCTCCCTCTAGAAAAAAAACTAGTTCAACCTATAGTTCGTAGGAGAATTAGAATCTATCACTTATTCGTCTGTTAAAAAAAAAAGAAATACGTAATTTTCCGCAACCACGCCGTTTCATCCCCCACTAAGCACAATCCACCACGTTCGCGGCGCGCGTGACGTCATTTGTCATTAGGCTAATGTTAAAGAAAGAGATACCGTGTAATTTAAAAAAAATCAAAACAGGCACTAAATGACTATGGCGTTGAGACTTTAGCGACGTTTAGGCTGACGTATAGATCTAAATGATTTTTAGTTCGGTAAATTATATTGGAGTTTAATTTATTACAGTGGCATGCTGTTCTCCCTCTTCTATACAAATTCACGTGCTTTTAATTTCTGCAACCTACTGCCCTGAGAGGTTCGGCTCTAAAATGCCCGTGACACAGCGGCTTCAGTAAATACATTTAGGCTCCCGGTCCCACCTATACACTTCGTCTGCCCATTAAGCTCCACGCAAATCTTGTGATTAATATGTGGACATAAGCGACGCTAATGGTGGTGTCAACAGGGATCCCCCCCCCCTAGCTCAGCTCTTAAAGGTGCTCTGCACTTCATAAAAGACAAAATTGATGTTTTGCCGACGGCCGTATTCTTAATGCACCGTCTCAGAGGCTGTCCACTGCTTGCACTATATTAAACTCAAGCCTATACTGAGCTCTGGATTTACATTAGCTGCTGTCGTATTAAGAGTTGATCGTGTGTTATGCCTCATGTCATGAAACTTACTGTTTTGTTCAATTTTATCTGCAAACCAATAATTGTCTTGGACTCTTGTCGAATATCGTTGCCAGGAGCTATTTGGTTTGAGCCTTATTGTCAGAAGTTCTTTCATTTAGAGTCAATATAGTGCGGCCTATTTTCGTCAGTAGGCATTTAGTGGCAGGCCCTTTTTGGCGGGGATGATGTGCTGAGGTTGTTTTACACCTCAAAACAAACACTTAATGTTCCTCGTTTTCATTGAGCACAGCTTTATAGAAGTCTTCCATAATTGACGTCACACTTCACCCCCCCCCCCCATCACCCCTTCATTACAGGTCATAAATTGCGGTCCTGCGTACGTTGACGTCACATTAGCATACCATATGTGTCATCGTTTATGGACAACCCCATATAAAAACTCATTTTGGGTATTTGGTATCAACGTTTTGACAACAAAGGTTATTCAAAATGTATATTGGAGGTTAGGACTTGACATCTACCATAAATGACATCACGCACTTAAGGGGTGGAGTAACTGGTTTTTGAGACGTTTTACGTGGGATGTGAGAGGGGTAAGAAACGTGAAACGTTATGTATTTCGCCTAATACAAAATTGCTAAAAAAATTCTTTTTCGTTAGAATTATGGCTTGACTTTTTAACAGGCAGGGCAAAAAGGCAATTTTTGACATTACGACTATTTCGTGACGGCGAAAATGGGGGTGGGGGGACGGGGTAAGGTGAAGAGAGGTCAAAAACGTGAAGTCATTTATGATTATAAATTACTAATTAAAGGAAAAAAACAAAAATATGAAATGAAAATAGCAAACAAACAATAACAATTAACTCAAACGAATATTTAAATAAACATTAGATATAATATGTAGTGGTAGCTCTATAAAAATAGGGACTTTCTTAATCTTAATGTATAAAAACTGCATCTAATAATAATAATTCTATAACTGATGTTTATTGTCAGTCAACTGAATTGTTTAAAGGGCAGAATTAAAAAAAAAACGCATGCTTTGTATTTAAACACAAGACAAACGTATTTAATAGCAAACATCAATATTCAATACATTTCCATACAGATAGAAATTAAAGGGAAATGACTGAAAATAATATTTTCTTAAGATGGCCGCTGTTTTTAATAGCAAATTTAGTATCTGGAACATCGTTGTTAAACCGAATTTCATGACATTTTTATTGATTTAACCCTTAAATGTGGTTTAATATTCAATTATCTTTAGTATTTTAGTTAGATATGCAAAAATATATACATATTTAAGCCATATTTATTAGTTACCTTATCCCTACATTACTAGCGCCGGCCGAATTGATTACGCTAAAACGATAGATTACCGATTATTGATTAGGCCTAATCATAAATGTATTAATGTGACATTATTGTGGTGTTTAGTACTGTTTAGGTCTGCCTCTTCGACGTCTTCGTTGTTAGCTTCGTAAACTAAAAAAAAACTAAAAGGTAGAGATCTAGATCTAGATTCTAGAAATTCTAGAGATTCTAGTAGTATCTAGATCTAGATTCCAGAATGTAGAAATTCTAAATCTAACAAATCAGATTCTAATCTAAACTAAATTCTAGCTGAGCTAGAACATTCACAATCTTACTTCTTAGTTCAGTGGCTAGACTAGACTGACTAGACCTTCAGTCACCGAGAGGCAGTGTGAGAGGAGTGAGCTGTCAAAATGTTGACAACAAAAGCTTTTACTTTTACCTACAGATGTCTGAGATGTTAAAGAAGTAGATTCTAGATACCTCAATACTTTTTTGATGCTGTGTACTTCATTTTTAAATTTGCACCCTTCTGATATTAAATATACATAGCCTACATTTTTAAATTATAAAATGAGGTAACTGGTAATGCATTTATATTTGTTTCTTTATTGCAAGGTTGATGCAGTATTTAAAAGAACATTATGAACCTTGTGCCATGTTGCTTGTGGTTTAGTTGTACCTGACCTGTTGACCCTGCGTGTGCAGGCAATAACCAGTAGCCATGGCGATGATGGACAACGTTGATTTCCTCATTAGTCACATACGCAACGCCTTTGTGACGAGTGACGATACCAGCATGTCAGAGTGGGTTATCACTGAGTGCCGCATACAAGATGAGTCTGACTTGAAGCGGGACAGCACTCACAGGTAAATAGGTTTAGGTTTATAGTAACTAACAGGTAAAGAGGTTTAGTTTTACAGTAACTCACAGGTAAAGAGGTTTAGTTTTACAGTCACTCACAGGTAAAGAGGTTTAGTTTTACAGTTACTCACAGGTAAAGAGGTTTAGTTTTACAGTAACTCACAGGTAAAGAGGTTTAGTTTTACAGTCACTCACAGGTAAAGAGGTTTAGTTTTACAGTCACTCACAGGTAAAGAGGTTTAGTTTTACAGTCACTCACAGGTAAAGAGGTTTAGTTTTACAGTCACTCACAGGTAAAGAGGTTTAGTTTTACAGTCACTCACAGGTAAAGAGGTTTAGTTTTACAGTCACTCACAGGTAAAGAGGTTTAGTTTTACAGTCACTCACTGGTAAAGAGGTTTAGTTTTACAGTCACTCACAGGTAAAGAGGTTTAGTTTTACAGTCACTCACAGGTAAAGAGGTTTAGTTTTACAGTCACTCACTGGTAAAGAGGTTTAGTTTTACAGTCACTCACAGGTAAAGAGGTTTAGTTTTACAGTCACTCACAGGTAAAGAGGTTTAGTTTTACAGTCACTCACAGGTAAAGAGGTTTAGTTTTACAGTCACTCACTGGTAAAGAGGTTTAGTTTTACAGTCACTCACAGGTAAAGAGGTTTAGTTTTACAGTCACTCACAGGTAAAGAGGTTTAGTTTTACAGTCACTCACTGGTAAAGAGGTTTAGTTTTACAGTCACTCACAGGTAAAGAGGTTTAGTTTTACAGTCACTCACAGGTAAAGAGGTTTAGTTTTACAGTCACTCACAGGTAAAGAGGTTTAGTTTTACAGTCACTCACAGGTAAAGAGGTTTAGTTTTACAGTCACTCACAGGTAAAGAGGTTTAGTTTTACAGTCACTCACAGGTAAAGAGGTTTAGTTTTACAGTCACTCACAGGTGTGGAGGTTTAGGTTTATAGTAAATCACAGGTGAGGAGATTACAATTTACAGTTTTTAGGTTTTAGTAAGGCAACCATGAGTTGCTGATTTGTGAACGTAATAGGAAATTAACTCTAAAAACAAAATGTAAACTAAGTATTTATTAGGTATTCATTTTGCATTTCAAATACTTATTTTAAATGATTATGTAATTCTATATCCGTTTTTGAGCTATACAAAATATCAAAGAAAAAGTAAAGTAGTAAAGATTAAAATATTTTATTTTCTGCATCAATCATTTTATATTACATCAACTTGTTTATAGCACTACTGTGCAATAAAGTAATAGAATGAAGTATTGTAGTGTATGTATAATAATAGAATAAGGGAGGATAGTGGAGATTTTTACTAGAATTCCTTGTGTGTACAGGTACAACAGAAATAATATCAGCAGTCGCAGTGACAGTATGAGTGACGGCCCCTCTGATAATGAAATTAAAGGATCAATGGATATCCACCCTGATATGGACTTTGGTTTGTTAATTTCTTTTTCTATTTTCCTCTTTAAACTTGTGGATTCTGTTATACTGTACTGTAGAATAAAATTTGTTTAAGTTGTGATACAGTTGCTCTTATGATTGAAATTTGTTTTACATTTGGTTTAGGTGCTAACATAAGTTAAATGTTTTACCTTTGGTGCAGGTGCTAACATAAGTTAAATGTTTGACCTTTTATGCAGGTGCTAACATTAAATGTTTTACCTTAGATGCAGGTGCTAACATAAGTTAAATGTTTTACCTTTGGTGCAGGTGCTAACGTAAGTTAAATTTTTTGTCTTTGGTGCAGGTGCTCACAGGCGCAGGTCTAACACTGCCCAGAGACTTGAGCGCCTGAAGAAGGAGAAGAGAACTCAGTGCAAGATGAAGACAATCCAGTGGAAAGATGCACCAGATACATACAAAGGTGAGAGTTTTTAAATATATACTTATAGATGCTCTGCCATTTTTGCAATAAAATTAATTAAGTAAAATTAATTTTTAAATTATCTATATATATAATTCTCTTCTTCGAGCCGCTAGAAAACAAGCTGCAAATGCGCTCCCTACCTCCCCACCCCTACATGGTTTTAGTGAGCTGTGTTCACTCTAAATGTTTACAAGCAGAGCCAACGATTTTAAACGTAGGGGTGTGGGTGGGGTGGGGGGGGGAGGAAGAGGGGGGGGTTATGGTCCTTAACGAGCTACTTATAGTGTTTTAAAGAAATATTTTCAGTGGCAGCGTTGGTACTGTCGAATTCACAAATTATAAATTACTGAAAAGTAGAAAAAACAACAACTAAATAGCGGCGTATGTTATGCAGCGGGCCGGCTCGTTTACTATAATATGTAAATCAATGATTGAAACTTTTATCTTTCTGATTACATCAAATAAATTGTCATTGATACCTTATTTTGCTTTTTTTTAAAAATGTATCATATTGGAGCTCCATTGTTGATACTGGTATATCTAGTATTCCATCCACTCGTTAGTTTTGTTGCTGTCAATGTCCACATTTTTTGGTAACATTCTGTTTCGTCTGTCTGTCATCACAGTGTCCACATTTTGTTTTTGAAACATTCTTTTTTGTTTTCTGTCCTGAACAGTGGATGAGAAAGGACACCTGTTTGAGAAAAGGGAGGTGACTCTAGCGCCTGTATTGAAGACAGATCCTGCTGCCTCTAAGGAAAACGTTCCCCCCGAAACAGCTGAAGACAGGAGGAAATCTGTGTCCACCCTCACCCAGCAGCTGAAGGAGCTAGACTGTCACGGCAGCAACCCCTTCTTTAAATATGCCAAATTTGATGGCAGGGTAAGTCTGTATGCAATATTTTTTTTCATTTGTAGTAGAATACACTGGAGAAGTGGGACTGATATGGAACATTTCTCAAAGTAAATAATACTTATCAAACAACAAATCTACCTGATTCGTTGCCTACTATATGATGCTGTTTTACTATAACTATTACTTGCATAAATCTGATAAAAATGAATTAAACATTAATGAAACCGATAAATGCAAAATATTTTAAGTGAGGAAAAACACCATTGGATAACTTGTATTTACTTTTTTAAACTTCTAATCATTAGTAAATAAAAGATGTCTTTTGAATAAAAATAATTATATAATAAATTTTTTTGTCCCCCGTTTAAATACAAAGTTATTTCTGAAATGTAACTTTATTTTTGAATAATAAATTCAGTTACCTATACCATAGCTATGTCGTTCATAAGTGCCATTGCTGATCTATGAATTCACCTCTCAACAGACAGCAGGAGGCCTCCCTACCCGCAAGCTGGACATCTTCCTGGCCTTTGCCCCACCTGACCAACAAGCTTACCCCATGTCCATCCTGGTCACAGCCAATGCTAAAGCCCAGGAGGTCGTTGGCCTGGTGTGTTGGCAGTACACGGATGAAGGCAGGAAGCCGGATATCCAGTCCGTAGCTGGACATATTGACCCAAAGTATGTAGTTCACAGTTCACTTAGTCTGTAGCTCATTAGACATTAACCTTTATTATCTTAAAAAAAACTTACCCTGACTCATTTGTAATTAGAACCTCATTACTTCATTTTCAGTGACTTTGTATTGACCTAGTTTCAGTGACTTTGTGAACAAGTTCTGTATTGACCTAATTTTCAGTAGCTTTGTGAACAAGTTCTGTATTGACCTAATTTCAGTGACTTTGTGAACAAGTTCTGTATTGATCTATTGACCTAATTTCTTTAATTTTGTGAACAAGTTCTGTATGACCTAATTTCAGTGACTTTGTGAACAAGTTCTGTATGACCTAATTTCAGTGACTTTGTGAACAAGTTCTGTATGACCTAATTTCAGTGACTTTGTGAACAAGTTCTGTATGACCTAATTTCAGTGACTTTGTGAACAAGTTCTGTATGACCTAATTTCAGTGACTTTGTGAACAAGTTCTGTATTGATCTATTGACCTAATTTCTTTAATTTTGTGAACAAGTTCTGTATGACCTAATTTCAGTGACTTTGTGAACAAGTTCTGTATGACATAACCTCAGTAGCTTTGTGAACAAGTCTATATTGACCTAATTTCAGTGACTTTGTGAACAAATTCTGTAATGACCTAATTTCAGTGACTTTGTGAACAAGTTCTGTATTGATCTATTGACCTAATTTCTTTAATTTTGTGAACAAGTTCTGTATGACCTAATTTCAGTGACTTTGTGAACAAGTTCTGTATTGACCTAATTTTCAGTAGCTTTGTGAACAAGTTCTGTATTGACCTAATTTTCAGTAGCTTTGTGAAAACATTCTGTAATGACCTAATTTCAGTGACTTTGTGAACAATGTGACCTACTTAGGTCGAGTCATTTTTATTTTGACATTGTATAATTCCTTATATGGAATGATGGTGTAACACCTGGGGTTTTTCCATTGACTATTAAGGTGTTTGAGACATAGAAAATTTCCATTAAAATCTGATTGAATGATCCTGATCAGATGATTATCCCAACCAATGGCGACATGAGTTGAGGATAACCTCCCCTGTCACAGAAGTCTTTAATTGCCCCGCACACTCGCAACACGTGGCAGTTTATCTTGACCTGGCAGTCTACGAGGCAGTTTTACCTTGGTCAGGCAGCCGTCCACATTGTCCGGCTATAGACTCTGACCATTTGAACGTGAGAGTACTTAAGACCTGTGTGTGCCTTGCTTTCTTCAGTTGATTTAGTCTTCTAGTTTAATATTACTTGTCGCTAAGTAATTCTAGAAACTACAGCAGTGTTGTGTGGCCTGTAGCTGTTCTTTAGACAGTGTAGAAATCTGTGATAGTGTTTTTTCCTACATTGTGTAAGTTGGGTTTTGAATTTATACATTAAATATTTTATTTAGTTCAACCTTGTGTTCTGCCACTTCTGAGTTCGCTGATTAAAAGGTCGTATGTAGATTGGATGAGTGTTAATTACAATAGTATCACTAGCTTCCCTAGACATTAAATTCGAGCCCTAGTGGTCGTTGTGTTAAGTGTTCATCCACTTAGGCCGTAAGGCATTTGCATATGACCCCGAAAAAAGAATCCGGGGACGTTCTCCTTCTATTTGGCTGATAGATAGGTTAACGTTACAAAGTGGGAGCTCGCCGAGATTTAATCTGTCGTTCCAGTTGTTGGTTATATCAGTTGAATACTAAGGTTAGTTGGATTTAGTTGTTTTTATATCCAGTAGCGCAGTGTTCTTACAACGCGCGCTCAGGCTAGAGTATCTAGGTCAAATAAGCAGACGTGTCGTCCTAGATTTTAGAGGTCAAGTACACGGCCCAACGCTGTGTATTAATTTAAAGAATCTAGGCTTGTTGTGATTTTCAAGTTAGTGTTATGGAGTCTTTTTTGGCTAATCCTACTGTTGAAGATGTAGAAAAGTTGAGTAGAAAAGTTTTGGTTAGTGTTGTTAAGGAATTGAAATTGGATTATTCTGTTACGCAGAAGTCAGAGGTGTTGAGAGATAAAATTGTTGTTCATTTCATTAATGAAGGGGTATTTGATGAAAGTTTGTTGGCTGGTGTATTACTTCGTGAGGAGAAAGTTGCTTTAGAGAAGGCATTAAAAGAACAGGAGTTAAAGGTTAAAATTGCTTTAGATAGGAGGAGGTTGGAATCAGAATTTGGTCAAGTTAGTGATGTTACTTCTCTGGTAGATCCAAAAAAGTTGTCGGTAGGGCAAGTGATTGCCAAATTTGGGAAATTAGTGCCTAAATTTGATGAAACAGATTTGGTCGTTTTCTTTAACTCGTTTGAGAGTTTAGCGAAGACATGTGAATGGCCCGAAACTTCCATTACTGCTTTATTGAGCTCTGTCCTTACTGGGAAAGCTGCAAAAACATACCAGGCACTCTCTCACGACGTTCAAAATAACTATAGTTTGGTCAAGACTGCCATTTTAAAGGCCTACGCACTGACGCCCGAGGCCTATCGGACAAAATTCCGAACACTCCGCAAGTTACCCACACAATCATATGTGGAATTTCTCTTTGAAAAGGAGAAAATATTCTCAAGGTGGCTACACTCTGAGGAAGTTTCTGAGTTTGAGAAACTCAGGTCACTTATCCTAAGGGAAGAATTCCTATCGTCCCTGCCTGAAGAGATACGACTACACATTCTGGATAACAAGATAACTGACATCCAGAAGGCTGCTGAGTCGGCTGACACATATATGTTGGTGCATAAGAAACCACCAGTGTCAGGAAACCGCCTCAACCCCGTGCTTCCCCTTTTTGGCAGCAATCATTCTGTTGGCCAACATTTGAAGGCATCACAGTCCAGAGAGAAACCAAGATCAACTCTCAATCGTCGAGCAGTATGCCAGTTCTGCAAAAGGCCTGGTCACCATGTCAAGGACTGTTACAAACGTCTTCAATATAACAGAGAGGTGGTGCGTACTTCTGCGCACTATGCTCTATCCCCTCAAGCAGCCAGTTCAACTATGAACTCTAGAATTCAAAAGGACTCTAACCCTAAGTGTCCGCAAGAAGGTAGTCAAGTCTCCACACATTATGTGCAGTCACATTTTGACTGTTCTCGCCACCATCCAGTTTCTTCCGAGTCTACCGATCTCGAGGGATCGAGAAAAGTTGACTTTTCATCTTTTATTGCCGAAGCCATCATTAGCAAACCAGGTGATCCGTTGTCTCAGAAGAATATCACCGTTCTAAGAGACACAGGAGCGTCACAATCACTCCTTTTGAAAAGTTCAATGGACATTACACCAGAGACGAACACCGGAAGGATTTCCATTATCCAGGGAGTGGGGACAAAATCTACTGTCGTCCCTCTACACAAGTTTGCCCTGAAACATCATCTCGTCGAAGGTGAGGTCATTTTAGGTGTGATAGATAGTATTCCTGTCCCAGGAGTACACCTACTTCTAGGGAATGACCTTGCGGGAAGCAAAGTATACCCTTGTACGGTTTCAGACCCTTTGTCAACAGTTCCAGATAATGATTATGAACTGTATCCTGCATGTGCGGTGACAAGAAGCCAGACCAAACAATTGGCTGACATCACGTCTGAACCACACCCGCCATCATCGTCAAGAAATTTGACTCTCAAACTGGAGTCTATGCTTCCAGAGAACACAAGCCTGGGCTTACCCCTGAGGATATCTCAGGAAGACATCATTAAAGCTCAACAAGTCGACGCGGAACTCAAAGCAGCGGTCGAAAAATCTCTATCATCTGACGATGGAGAATATTTCTCCGAGAACGGCCTCTTCTTTCGTCGCGCTACACCAGTGATTGCCTCACCAGCCGAACCATGGTTGGGTAAAAACCAGCTGTGGGTCCCTCCACCTTATCGGCATGAAATACTTAAGCTGGCACATGACCATCCAATGTCAGCGCACACAGGTGTCACTAAAACGACGGCGAAGATCAAAGAACTGTTCTTTTGGCCCAAAATGAGAAAAGATGTGTCGCGTTACTGCAGAAGTTGCACGAACTGTCAGTTGGCCGGAAAGCCAAACCAGACAATTCCTAAGGCCCCTTTGAGTCCGATTCCTGTATTAGAAGAACCTTTTTCTAAAATCGTCATGGACTGTGTAGGTCCCTTGCCTAAAACCAAGGCGGGCAACGAGTACCTACTTACCTTTAAGTGTTCAAGTACCCGTTTTCCCGAGGCGATTCCCTTACGGAACATTAAGGCAAAGACTGTAGTCAGAGCCATGACCCGGTTCTTCACTACCTTTGGATTACCTAGAATCGTGCAAACAGATCAAGGCAGCAACTTCACCAGTCACCATTTTCAGGAAGCGCTAGCCAAGCTAGGCGTTACCCACATCACCAGCTCAGCCTACCACCCTCAGTCTCAAGGCGTACTTGAGAGGTTCCACCAAAACCTCAAAACCATGCTAAGGACATTCGCTAATAGTAACACCCAATGGGATGAGTCTGTTCCTTGGATTATTTTCGCCGCGAGGGACTGTGTCCAGGACTCTTTAGGCTACTCGCCTTTTCAACTTGTGTTTGGACATTCTGTCCGGGGTCCCCTGAAGCTGATACACGAACGTTGGACAGGTACCAGTGATCATCCAGTGGAAAACTTCGACGATTTTCACGTTCGACTGAAAGCCGTGTGCGAAATGGCTCACAAGAACTTAAGAAAGGCCCAAGTGAGAATGAAAGAACTGTATGATAAGAGTTCTTGTAAACGAACATTCAATCCAGGCGACAAAGTTCTTGTGCTAGTGCCTAATCTGAACAATGCGTTATCCTTGAGATATTGTGGACCCTTTACTGTGCATTCAAAATTAAGTGATTTGAACTATGTTGTCAATACGCCCGACAGAAGAAAGAAACAGACAGTGTATCATGTCAACTCACTGAAAAAATATTATGATAATTGTAACAATTTTCAATCCACAGCTAAAATTACTTTACCTGTATGTTCAAATGTTTCTGATGATGTGATACATGATAAATTGAAACCCCCAAAATTGGTAAATTCTTCCTTTTTAGATAATTTGAATGTCCACCTTATGTACTTGTCCACAGAGGAAAGCCATAGGTTGTCTCAGTTATTCGAGACATTTCCCTCTATTTTTGGGGATGTCCCCAAAGAAGCGAAGGTTCCACCTCATGATGTAGACGTTGGTGACGCAAAACCCATTAAACAACACCCCTATAGAGTTAACCCGGAAAAAGCTGCTTTGATAAAAGATGAAATTGATTATATGCTCAAGAATGATATCATTGAGCCCAGTTTCAGCAACTGGAGTTCCCCATGTCTCCTAGTCCCGAAAGACGGTGGATCTTTCAGGTTTGTGACCGACTTTAGGAAGGTGAATGCGCTCACCAAAGCTGATTCCTATCCCTTACCTCGGATAGAGGACGTTATTGATAAAGTTGGTCAAGCTAAGATAATTTCCAAAATTGATTTACTTTCAGGATACTGGCAAATCCCCTTATCTGACCGTGCAAAAGAAATATCTGCTTTTGTAACCCCTAATGGTTTTTATAGATACAAACGCATGCCCTTTGGTATGCGAAATGCTGGTCAAACTTTCCAGAGGGTCATTAACTCTGTCATTGCTGACATAGACCAATGTGAGGCCTACATAGATGATATAGTTGTATTTTCTAATACTTTTGAAGAACATATTGTTCAATTGACTAACCTTTTTAGAAAATTGTCTGAAGTGAATTTTACTGTAAACTTACATAAAAGTGATTTCTGTAAAGCTTCAATTACCTATTTGGGTTACCAAGTGGGAACGAACCAAGTTCGGCCCATTGAAGCTAAAGTAGATGCTATTGTAAGGTTACCACCTCCCAAAAATTGTAAAGAGATCAAAAAGTTCCTTGGGATGGCTGGTTACTATAGGCGGTTCTGTCAAAACTTTTCAGCTATTGCTGAACCTCTTACTGCATTATTGAAAAAGGGTGTTGAATTTGAATGGTCAGATAAATGTCAAGAAGCTTTTTTAACCATTAAGTCATTTTTATCAAATGCTCCTGTTATGGCTGCACCAAATTTTAGCAAGCCCTTTAAACTTGCCATTGATGCTAGCAACTTAGCCATTGGCTCAGTCCTATTTCAAGAAGACAACATGGGAATTGACCATCCCATTGCCTTTTTTTCCAGGAAGTTAAATGAGAACCAAAAGAATTATTCTACTATTGAAAAAGAAGCTTTAGCTTTGGTTTTATCATTACAACATTTTGAAGTCTATGTCTCTTCTTCAACCAATCCAGTCAGAGTGTTTTCTGACCATGATCCCCTGAAATTTACCTCTAAGTTAGGACAGACAAATCAAAGAATATTGAGATGGTGCTTATATTTCCAAAATTTTAATCTGGAAATTTCACACATTAAGGGTAGTGATAATGTTGTGGCTGATTGTTTGTCAAGGATGTAAAATCTTGTTACACACATTGATCATGTGACACGCTTTGTGGTTCATTAGGACCATAAACAGGTTTTGTTTGAGTGTCACTCATATGAAAATGAGTGGTGTGAGTTAGAATTTTTCAAAATTTCAATCCTGTTGAATATTTTGTTTATTTTCAGGTGAACCTTAATTAAAGGTGGTTTTTGATTATATGTAATCTTTTATAATAATATGTCTCATATGACTCAATTGATATTGTAGCTAGTCATTGAAATAAAGGTCTTACCCTGGCGGGTTTACCACTTTTAATATCCACATGGAAATATTGTAATACCCTTTTTTGAGGGATTTTGATGTATAATTACTTTTTGAAGGGTTACTCCCCTTTCACCAATTGTAAAAGGTGGAGTTACTTCCCTTTTATGTTCAGGGATATTTTCATCTGGTATTATGATTTTGATTGCCTACATTTGTAAAACATTTTTGTTATTTCATTGCCAGATTGGTTCCTTATGTATGTTCTTGTGGAACCTATCTGTCACTTCCAAAAAGGGAGGGGATGTGACCTACTTAGGTCGAGTCATTTTTATTTTGACATTGTATAATTCCTTATATGGAATGATGGTGTAACACCTGGGGTTTTTCCATTGACTATTAAGGTGTTTGAGACATAGAAAATTTCCATTAAAATCTGATTGAATGATCCTGATCAGATGATTATCCCAACCAATGGCGACATGAGTTGAGGATAACCTCCCCTGTCACAGAAGTCTTTAATTGCCCCGCACACTCGCAACACGTGGCAGTTTATCTTGACCTGGCAGTCTACGAGGCAGTTTTACCTTGGTCAGGCAGCCGTCCACATTGTCCGGCTATAGACTCTGACCATTTGAACGTGAGAGTACTTAAGACCTGTGTGTGCCTTGCTTTCTTCAGTTGATTTAGTCTTCTAGTTTAATATTACTTGTCGCTAAGTAATTCTAGAAACTACAGCAGTGTTGTGTGGCCTGTAGCTGTTCTTTAGACAGTGTAGAAATCTGTGATAGTGTTTTTTCCTACATTGTGTAAGTTGGGTTTTGAATTTATACATTAAATATTTTATTTAGTTCAACCTTGTGTTCTGCCACTTCTGAGTTCGCTGATTAAAAGGTCGTATGTAGATTGGATGAGTGTTAATTACAATAGTATCACTAGCTTCCCTAGACATTAAATTCGAGCCCTAGTGGTCGTTGTGTTAAGTGTTCATCCACTTAGGCCGTAAGGCATTTGCATATGACCCCGAAAAAAGAATCCGGGGACGTTCTCCTTCTATTTGGCTGATAGATAGGTTAACGTTACAACAAGTTCTGTATTGATCTATTGACCTAATTTCTTTAATTTTGTGAACAAGTTCTGTATGACCTAATTTCAGTAACTTTGTGAACAAGTTCTGTATGACCTAATTTCAGTGACTTTGTAAACAAGTTCTGTATGACCTTATTTCAATGACTTTGTGAACAAGTTCTGTATTGACTTAATTTCAATGACTTTGTGAACAAGTTCTGTACGACCTAATTTCAGTGACTTTGTGAACAAGTTCTGTATTGACTTAATTTCAATGACTTTGTGAACAAGTTCTGTACGACCTAATTTCAGTGACTTTGTGAACAAGTTCTGTATGACCTAATTTCAGTGACTTTGTAAACAAGTTCTGTATGACCTTATTTCAATGACTTTGTGAACAAGTTCTGTATTGACTTAATTTCAATGACTTTGTGAACAAGTTCTGTACGACCTAATTTCAGTGACTTTGTGAACAAGTTCTGTATGACCTAATTTCAGTGACTTTGTGAACAAGTTCTCCCTGCACATGGTTGAAGATGATGGTGAGATAGACACAGACTTCCCCCCTATTGTACCCACTGACCCTGTGTCTAAGTACGGCTTCACCAAGTTTGCTCTGGTGGCCAATGCACCAGTTCAACCTAAATCTGCCCTAGTCACCATGTAAGTTAATCTGTTCAGCTATCATAGTTCAAGATTATGACCTTCTGTCTAGCATTATATAGTTTATATAATGAGCTTTAGACCTGTCTAGCATATATAGTTTATATAAAGTGTGCTTTAGACCTTCTGTTTAGAAAATGGTTTATGTGATTTTAAACTGATTTTTACCTGTAACTACTCACCTAGAAATGTCCCCAACCGAGGATTCAACAAGTTCCAGGTGGATTCAATGAGTGTAACAATGAGGGAACTCATGGACAAAGTCATCAAAAAAAGGAAAATGAAAATACGACCAGGTAATTCTAATTACTGTTTTCTCCATAGTTCTGATATATCTATATTTCTAATTAATATACGGTCAGCATATTTATTATTACGTATGGGTTGATCATAGAGTAGGTGACAAAACAAATGGATTTTAATATTACATGAGATCAGTGGTTTTAGTCTTAAGGAAGGGCAAAAATATATTTTGTTACATTAGCAGAACACACTGGGCAGACAACTTACAAGTGAAGAAATTTTTTATTTTGTTTTACTACATTCACTCACTCTTGTGTAGAGTCTTTGTTTTGCTTTAAATTTATGCCAGGTAAGACATTTCTCTCTCTCCATCCCAGGTTTGAACTACACTTTAGAAAAAGCTGGCAAGAGTGAGATTGGCAAGCCAGTGGACCTGGATGCCATGCTTGGCTCCATGAACTGTTTAGAGTTTTTTCTTATAAGAGAGAACAGTAAGTTTTGTGTCTAGACCTTCTGTTAGTAAAGTTCCCCTTCCAAATCTGACGGTCTATGGGGCAACTCAAGTGAAGTAAAGCTTGCCTATTTCTGTGACCTCTGCATATGAAGGGATAGTAGGTGTCAGCACTATGCCCAGCCGCCTTTACTTTCCCTAACGCCAGTTAGGTACCCATCAGAGCTGGGTGAACTACTTTGAACCCGGATTCAAACTTGAGACTTTTTGTGTTAGCAGTCTAGGCCACTCCGTATCATAAACCTTCTGTTAGCTGTGTATATCTAGACTTCTGGTAGTCTGTATCTACTACTGCTATTATGATGAGGTCCATATCAACTTGTTTACCAGGCTCAAGGGGGGACGTGGAGTCCAACGGAGAGGAAGATCAGAAAATGGCCGAGTCATTAATGAGTCACCAGTACAAGTCTTTCATTGTCAGCATGGTGCACAAGTTGAGGACAAACACAGAGGTGCAGTTAGGTCAGTACATGGTGCACATCATTCTGAGGTCAGTACATGGTGCACATCATTCTGAGGTCAGTACATGGTGCACATCATTCTGACCCAGTTAGGTCAGTACATGGTGCACATAATTCTGACCCAGTTAGGTCAGTACATGGTGCACATCATTCTGAGGTCAGTACATGGTGCACATCATTCTGAGGTCAGTACATGGTGCACACCATTCTGACCCAGTTAGGTCAGTACATGGTGCACATCATTCTGACCCAGTTAGGTCAGTACATGGTGCACACCATTCTGACCCAGTTAGGTCAGTACATGGTGCACATCATTCTGACCCAGTTAGGTCAGTACATGGTGCACACCATTCTGACCCAGTTAGGTCAGTACATGGTGCACATCATTCTGATCCAGTTAGGCCAGTACATGGTTAAGATAAGGTGTTACAGTTAGTTACAGTTAGGTTAGTACATGGTTAAGATAAAGCTGACAGAGAGGTCTAGCTGCTACAGGCTAGTTAGGTCATTTCATAGAAAAATTAGTTCTGACCACCAGTCACTACAGGTGATATTGGTAGAGGAAGGTCAGTCAGAACAGATTAGAACAAAGTTTATTTTCTTGAACCAGGCATCAGTGGGGATAAGATAGAGATTGACCCAGTCAAGGGGACGACTCGTCTGTTCCGCCAGAAAGCTGTCACCTACGACGCTGATTGTGTGGCGGCCTGCGATGTCACTGAAACAAAAAGTAGCGGTAAGTTTTTCTACGGCCATTTGTAATAGCGTATCTGTGAAAATATTTATCAAATTATGTCCATTTTGGTAATTGTTTATAGAAGTCCACATGGTTAACTTACAAATGATGTTCTACTAGTTATTTTGCAAACACTCTCTTTATTACAGACAATGTATTTCAGTTGTGAAGGCATTTAGAAACTTGTCTATTATTAAATTTCTTAAGTAGCTTAAAAATTAATTGATACGATCACCATTTTTCAAAAGAAAAAAGATTTAAAAAAAAACTATTAATTACATTATCCAGAAGCTGTAATTCTTACAGGGTAAACTCTTGCTTACTATGCATCGCTACCCTTGACAGAAAATCAAACTGAGTTCTAAAGAAAATGCAGACAGTTAAAAATGTAAAAAGTCCTTTGATATTTCTCTATTGTATTTTAATGCTATAACGTTGAACCACCATTTTTCCAACGCCGCACCTTACCCTAGTTTCTGACTGCCTCTCCCCCCCTCCCACCCCCAGGTCGAGCTGTGTTCCGCCTGACCTACTTAAACGGGGCAGACTACAAACAGCACTACTTCGAGGCTGACCAGACCGTTGCCACAGAGATCGTGGAGAAGGTCAACAACATCCTGGAGCTCAAGTTCAGCCCAGTCAGGAAGGAGTTTGTCTTCACCCAGGAGAAGAAAGCCTTACAGAAACGGGACTCCATCAAGAGGGACTCGTCCATTAAAATGGGGCACTGATTCCTCTGGTCACGTCAATTGCTGACACTAGACAATGGTACAGACTTCTTGTATGCAGCAATACAGTTGTATTGTATCTGGTTAGTTGTATCAAAGCTACAAAGTTACAACGTTAGAGACACTCCAGTATATGGGTAGCTGATTCCAAAAGAATGGAGTCATGGACTCTAATATTATTCTAGTATTTGTATCAGTGAATCTTGCGCTGTTTTATGAAGGGTATAATTGGCATAAACTCAGGCTCTGATTTTGAATATCTCATGATGGTCTGATGCTTGTCTGATTTTCTCATGATGGATTGATTATTATCTTTAAGAATGCCCAAAGGCAGGGCATGTTGGAGAGATGGTAAAAGTTAGTTCCTCTTTCCATCTTTCTAGTTTGTTAACTAACAAATGAAGATGTGGTCAGTGCTATCTCTGTCAGACTGAAGCCCTCACTGACTGATGTGTACATGGGTCAGTGCTATCTCTGTCAGACTGAAGCCCTCACTGACTGATGTGTACATGGGTCAGTGCTATCTCTGTCAGACTGAACCCCTCACTGACTGATGTGTACATGGGTCAGTGCTATCTCTGTCTAGCTGGTGAAGCTCTCACTGACTGATGTGTACATGGGTCAGTGCTATCTCTGTCAGACTGAACCCCTCACTGACTGATGTGTACATGGGTCAGTGCTATCTCTGTCTAGCTGGTGAAGCTCTCACTGACTGATGTGTACATGGGTCAGTGCTATCTCTGTCTAGCTGGTGAAGCTCTCACTGACTGATGTGTACATGGGTCAGTGCTATCTCTGTCTAGCTGGTGAAGCTCTCACTGACTGATGTGTACATGGACCAGTGCTATCTGTCAGGCTGAAGCCCTCACTGACTGATGTGTACATGGGTCAGTGCTATCTCTGTCAGACTGAAGCCCTCACTGACTGATGTGTACATGGGCCAGTGCTATCTCTGTCAGACTGAACCCCTCACTGACTGATGTGTACATGGGCCAGTGCTATCTCTGTCAGGCTGAACCCCTCACTGACTGATATGTACATGGCTCAGTGCTATCTCTGTCTAGCTAGTGAACCCCTCACTGACTGATGTGTACATGGGTCAGTGCTATCTCTGTCAGACTGAAGCCCTCACTGACTGATGTGTACATGGGTCAGTGCTATCTCTGTCAGACTGAAGCCCTCACTGACTGATGTGTACATGGGTCAGTGCTATCTCTGTCAGACTGAAACCCTCACTGACTGATGTGTACATGGGTCAGTGCTATCTCTAACAGACTGAACCCCTCACTGACTGATGTGTACATGGGTCAGTGCTATCTCTGTCTAGCTGGTGAAGCTCTCACTGACTGATGTGTACATGGGTCAGTGCTATCTCTGTCTAGCTGGTGAAGCCCTCACTGACTGATGTGTACATGGGTCAGTGCTATCTCTGTCAGACTGAAGCCCTCACTGACTGATGTGTACATGGGTCAGTGCTATCTCTGTCAGACTGAAGCCCTCACTGACTGATGTGTACATGGGTCAGTGCTATCTGTCAGGCTTCTGGTGAAAGCTCATTGACAAATATAATCTGGCTTGAGCTCTGACTGAGGTGGTAGTTTAATGCTGTATTGTAGTACAGCATGAGACATAACAAAACAGTTACTCTAACGTAAAACAAAAAAGAACTGGTGTGATTGAATAGACTACCTACTTGCGTTCAGATATAGACAGATTTAATTATGTATGAAATTGTATGTGTTTATATACAGGTATATAAACATTCTTATGTGAAAAATATGCATTGATTATTATATTATAATATTTGTATGTATTATGTATATGAAAGTAAGTCTTAAATAAACATGAATGACATGGTGGAGTGATAGAGCACAAAACCATGTGTTGGGTAAATTGAGTTCAAGTCTACAGGATGTAAACTCTGCTTTAATAAGTGTAGAGAGTTATCTGTGATGGTCACAGTGTAGAGAGTTATCTGTGATGGTTTTTACTCTTCTTGAAGTTGAAGCTTAATCAAGCAGTAAATGTACAATAAATTCATTTCAAAACTCATATCAGCTTTAGTTTTTTTTTTAAGTTTGAGTACTAATTTGTGTGCATTAGCTATAAATACTTTATAATTTATGTAAAATCATTGACATCCAAGTCTTAAAAATTGCCTGTAAGTCTGTAACGATTAAATTGACAGCATCCAAGTTAAGTAATAACTAAAAAGTTGTTTTTTTTAAAAGTTTTTTTTCTAATAAATAGTAGCTGACTGAGCATTATTATACTGCAAGTGATTAAACTTTTTAATAAAACAAAAAAATTGGGAATTTATGGGTTATAGCCCTTAGTTTTTTTTTTTTTAAATGTTTGTCTTATCATTTAACTGAAATTAGCTTACACTAGGATCACATAAGCCCACAGCGTGTAGTCTAACACCAAGCAAGATCTATGGACATGGGCCAAGTGCCAAAAAACTTAAACAAAGTTTCTCACAATTTCATATTGCACCCAACACACACGTTACAGTTTTAGTAGGCCTACATACACATACAAATTGGTTAAATAAACTGATATACACAGGCACGAATACACATAGGCCCATTTATAGTGTGTGTGGAAAAAAGTGGGGGGGGGGGGTGAATGTCAGTTCAATAAAAGTAATTTGAGGTTTGAACAATTTTTTTCTTTTAGGCATCGCTTGGGAGAGGGGGGGGGGGGGTATTAGCGCCCCCCCCCCCCCCCCCCCCCCGCTCCCGAAACACGTCTACCGCACCCTGATCGAAATATAATTTATACAGAAAATATACATTTTAGCCAGCAACACGGAAATTTTAGTCCGTCTCACCCCCCTCCCCCTCCCAAAATTTTCAAGCGGAACCTCCCTCCCCCCTCCCCCTTTTCCTGAAAAAAGTCTGAAAAAAAACACTACTGTAAACAATGCGTGTTTACACAAAAACGGTTCTGCATCTGATTGTTTACATTCAAACAAGCCTACCTTATGCTGAACAAAAATAATCTTTAAGTTTTAATCAAGCAGCGACACATAAGCATAAAAAAACACCTGTATCCACAGCCCTTCAACCCCTCCCACACAACCCCTTCTATCTCCATAATTCTCCCAACCAACCTCCCCTTTTTACTAGCGCCAACCCCGACTACACGTCTTTATTACACATGTCAACACATTTGCCAAACTGCCATCGATATAGTGCATTACCATATTTACTTTACATTCCACTACAGCGTGCTTTCACCAAACACCCACCCTCCGCCTCGACGTAAAACCACCACGCCCTTCATTCAACTCGACAGCCCCTACCTGCAAGTCGACAGTTAAATTCAAGTCCACAGTCCCAATATGTTTTCTGCAGTCGAATGTGGCTGTGTAATTTCTCTGCAGGCAGAATCAATTCAACCGGCCCGAATCACGGTATTCAAGATTAATCTTCCGTGTTAGTTTAAAGTAATTTAATCCAACGTGTCGGTAATTGACGGCTCCATGTCACGCTGTTATCAGTCGTGGGTCGGAGATACCTGTCGTATTTCAGTTGCAGGACAAGGTAGAGCAGGTAGGTTTGAGTGTAGTTGTGTTTGAGCTATTGGTGGATTTTTGATTTTTTTTTGTTTCTCTTATGTAGAAAATACCATCATTGACATTGTTATAACTAGGTTAAAGTGATTTTCGGTTTGTGTTGTAGGTTACGTTAAAGTATTTCAGATTAGTTTCATAGCTAGAATACGTTCGGTCTGCTAACCCGAAAGTCTCGAGTTCGAATCCCAGGTTCAAGTCCGTATAACGTGCCTGAGTCCACCCAGCTCTGGTGGGTACCTGGCTCATTTTTAGTAAAGACAAAAGCTAGGTTTGAAAGAATACTTTACTTACTAGGTTCATAGTTGCAGTTACAGAGTGAGCAGTGTTTCTTCCAGACTCTTTTCTCTGGGGGGCACTTCATATTTTCGGAGGGGGGGGGGGTGGGGTGGGGCGGACAACATTTTACGTGGGGGGGGGGGGTCGGACACTGGTAAAAGTGGTGTTTATATTTTAAGATCTAACCCATTATTCGTTTAATACTTTACACCACACATATCATATCACAGTGTCCTTGAAGTGTCGTCATGGATCAACACAACTGAAGTTCAAAACAGCCTAGCAGACGTCACTACAATCCTGAGCACCTGACGTCATTTTACTCCTGAACTTCTGACGTCACATCTGATTCTGACGTCATTTTACGCGTGAAATCTAACGTCATCAAACGCACCTGACGTCTTGACTAGCCAGTTAGACGTAGATCTAGTTGTCTTTGACGATACACAACTTCCTAGCTCGGTGCTGAAGTAAACAGCTTGACTATCAACAAGCGGGGGGAATAACCAATGTTGGATGATCTAGAAATGACTAAAATACAAGATGTAAGTATAAATCTTATCACGTGATTTCTGTATTTAGAATGAGCAAACACTGACAACGTCTGAATGATAGCAGAAGAAACCTAGTATAAAACCTGCGGGATTATGTCGTCTGATTCGAGTAATGAAGGCCATTTCGTAAAAGGGGTCGTCCATAAATGACGCCACACTCGTAATAGGATGGGGGAGGGGAAGGGGAAGTCCGTAATTTTGTGACGGTGTGTGATAAGGGAGAGGGGGGGGGGGGGTTCAGATGGTGTGACGTCACACTTTTGCATTATAAAAAAGCAATGTTAGAAAACGAATTTTAGCCGTTATTTCGCGTTTTAGAAAACGTTTTAATAAATTGTAATAGGAATTGAATTGATTAAAATACTCTTTGTTGAGTTCAGACAAGATTTTGGAAAAATATAGTATTAAAAAAAAATTCATCTGCAATTTCTAGGGGCTGGGGGCGGGGGGGGGGGGTTTGAGGTGTGACATCATTGTAGGGGGAGGTGTCTGGCTTTTTGAGTCGATGTGTGACGGAGGGGGAGGTAAAAATCGTAAAAAAAAAGCGTGACGTCATTTATGGATGACCCCTAAACAATTCTGTCTGATTCGAATAATGAACGCCATTTTGTAAAAAAAAAAAAGGGCCCTTCACAGTAGGGTGCCAAAAAGCTCGATTGGTTTACGCATGCGTATCGAGTGTCTTTGGCGTCTTTTGAGATCAGTTCAAACAACGTTTTTGTCAAGTTGTCAGTACAAGGTGTGTCAACAAGCTATGGATCTAAGTAAATCAATAATTCTAATGTTTACATTCAGCCAAAAGTTTATTTTGAAAGACATGCATGTTGTAAAATATTAGCGGCATAAATGGAAAACCCAATATTAGTTGAATAAAATCTGAAACTTAACATTAACTAAATAAATAAAAAACCTAATATTGGCTGAATAAATCGGATACACAATATTAGCTGCATAAAACGAAAACCCTGTATGATGAGCTGGATAGACCGAGGTAGTGTGCTGTTGACAAACCTAACACGACACACAATGACACACTGGTTAAAAGTGTGAACGGCGTTCAATGGAGCGTGACCAATGTTGACTTGTACAACTGGGGAAAATGGACCTGTTAGATTAAAGTATGGCTGTTATATTTACGGTATAGCTGTCACATTTATGGTATAGCTGTCACATTTACGGTATAGCTGTCACATTTACGGTATAGTTGTCACATTTATGGTATAGCTGTCACATTACGGTATAGTTGTCACATTACGGTATAGTTGTCACATTTACAGTATAGTTGTCACATTTACGGTATAGTTGTCACATTACTGTATAGCTGTAACATTTACGGTATAGCTGTCACATTTACAGTATAGTTGTCACATTACGGTATAGTTGTCACATTTAGGATTAAACTGCTACACTAGAAGTCTATCTGTCACATACATGATAAAAGTTAAAATTAAGGATAAAAAGTGTAAAACTAAGGATAAAACTGTCACATTAACGATGTATCTGTCACACTGAGGATATCACATTTTACACCCAGGATTTAACTTTACAAAAAAATACAACATTGGGATTATACACATATATAACACACATATGGTAGGGAGGGGGTTGGTGTATTATTTTGTGATATTGTGTTACATGGGCTGGCGGATGAAGAGTAATGCTAGTTTACACTGCCTCGAAGTACACTTTCTGCTACTTTGAAGGATTAGTTGACGAAAAAAAACGACATACATGCGTTTTCATGTTACACAATTTAAGGTTTAAGATTTGTCTTTAATCTGCATTAACATGGGACTTTACTCTAAATTGATTTGATGAACGTAACACATTTTTTGCGGGGGTGGGAGGTGGGGAGAGTAGGTGTGGTACTATTATGGGGGCTGGTTGTCTATGGTAATGGTATCTGGGGTATTGGTTGAATAACGTGTTCTGGTATTCTGTGGCAGAGTTTCTTCCAGGCAACCCGAAAAAATTCTATCGCCCCCCCCCCCCCGAACGAAATGAAATTTATATAATTTATATAATTTATATAGAAAATACATACTTTTAACAGTGTCCGCCCCCCCCCCCCCCGAAGAAAGTCTACCCCCCCCCCCCCCCCCGAAAATTTCAAGTGTCCCCCGGAGAAAAAAGTCTGGAAGAAACCCTGTCTGTGAGATAAAATCTGCACGACACCTGTCATACTAGGAGATATCAAAGTGACATTTCGATTCTTACGACCCATTGGGTAGATGAAGTAGAGTTCACCTATTTCTGTGACCTCGATCAGTCTTATGTCGAACCGCCTTTACTTTCTTTGAACAAATTCTTGACAAAACAGCACACAAAAAACAATTTATATAGAAATATGTACTTTAACCAGTATCCGCTTTCAAGTACCTCAAGTTTCAAGTACCTACCCACACACCTCCCAGAGAAAAATGTCTCGATGAAAGTCTGCATAACATAACTTATTTTAAAATAACATTTAGGTCTATTTATTTTTAGTTGGGCTAAAGTAAATGTGTTAGTTCATTCATTAAATTTTGTAAACATTGGATCCTTTCAGCTAGCACGGATTACCCGTATGATGCGCATGCGCATGTGGATCGTGTCGTTCGCCATTTTGTTTGGCCTGGGTTATCTATTCTTCCTGTTCTACTACCTCAAGACACACCCACACGATGGCGACTCAGACTCTCAGCCGGAAGTCGTGGGTCCAAGTTAAAGGATCGAATCTCACTCAGACAAACTATCTGATAGCCTACACTGATATAATACGACAAGTCACCGATTCTGAAACAACTGGTTTAGTACCTTGTGGTTAGTCAAAACTGGTTCGGTAACATCTGGTTCAGTAACACTAAACACTGGTTTAGTAACATATGGTTCAGTCACAACTGATTCAGTCAGTACCATCTGACTCATTAGCAACTGGTTCAGTAACATTTGGTTCAGTAACTTGTGGTTAGTCAAAACTGGTTCGGTAACATTTGGTTCAGTAACTTGTGGTTAGTCAAAACTGGTTCGGTAACATTTGGTTCAGTAACTTGTGGTTAGTCAAAACTGGTTCGGTAACATCTGGTTCAGTAACACTTAGTTCAGAAACATTTGGTCAGTAACATTTGTTTCAGTAACATTTGGTTAAAAACTTGTATCTTACAACCAGCAACAATTTATTGGATCTAAAAACAGCACAGCAACAGACTATAGAAGATGTAAAATTGATGAACTCTACTCCACCTGTCAATTTCAGGCCCGAATTATACGTCACAACAACATGCCTATATTATTTATATTGTGTGCTGACGTTGTGGAAGAGCATTTACACGCGCTGCTGTCCAAAATCGCTCAATCATTCTAAATTCACTGTCAACAATGCGAATTTTGTTTTGATGCCTGATGTTCGCAGCTGCAGTGAACTGCGGGTCGCATCCAGTAAAGCAACAACTGTTTTAGTTTGTTTGTTTTGTTTTACCATGTAAAATATAAACATGAAGCAAAAATGTTCTGTTTTTATTTTTATTATTTTAAACTTTCCAATTCCTTTATTTTATAAGTTTATTTAACAGTATATCAAACACAGAATACATAATGTATATTTTTTAAGTTTATTATACATTATATCAAACACAGAATACATAATGTATATTTTATAAGTTTATTATACAGTATATCAAACACAGAATACATATGTCAATACATGGGTGGACTGGCCAATCACACTTGGTGCTCTACTAAGCCTTCACACGCTTTCAAAAAAAATATAATTGGCCGCGTGAATTTCTATCAAGTAGAGGATGAGCATCAGGCTTTGATGGGGGTAAAATACACAATGAAAATTGAAAATTGGGGTTTGGGGCCCTTTTCAAAATCCCCCCGGCCTCTTGGATACAGCCAGTCCACCATTTAGTGTATAATTACAATAATTTACAGTTCACTTTCTTCCCCCCAGCGATAATATAATGCGATATTAAAAAAAAAAACATGTTTAGCTACTAATTATGTTTGTTTCTGTTAATTCAAACGGAACTAACTCTTATTTCTAACTAACAATAATAATTGTTTATATCCAAGATTTCTGATCCTTAGAAAGAATAATTGGAGTAGGTTAAACAGATTATGTTAGATTAAGCTAATTAATTAATTAAGTTTTAAATCAACATGTAATAAAGAGAACAGAGCTGTAACCACATATTAATTAAGCTAATTTCAAATCCAGGTAGATTAATCTATTTTTGTAACACACATAGACACAAGTATATGTAATGGTGCTCGGTTAATACATCAATACTAGACATTTATCGGGGGCAACTTAGCTAGTTATTATGTTTTCTTTAAAAATACCCGTTTACACATTTGTTGATTATAAATCTATTTGAATGTGCAGCAGGCTTATGCTGGAGATATATAGCATGCACTTTGTGTAACTACGTGTAATTTAGTAAAAACAATTAATAAAAAACGTTTTAAAACAAGCTTTTATGTAATAATGCACCAAAAAAGTAGAAAATAAATTATACACTACTATTTAAATAACTATAAAGAAAAGCGTGGGTCTCATCCTAAATATTAGTAAAAGTAACAGATACTAAAGTGACCCACGCTTTTCTTTATAGTTATTTAAATAGTAGTGTATAATTTATTTTCTACTTTTTAGTGCATTATTACATATTAAAACGTTTTTTATGAATTTTTTAATGATTGATTTTCAGTACTTTAAATTTTAAATAAACCGTGAGTGATCTCCCCTAAACTTTCTCGAATATTCTTGTATAAAACAACAGGGGATGGGAACTCGGGATATAGAAACGATTTTTAATCCATTTTAAATACTTAAACTTTTTTAAATAGAATAAAATCTCGTGGGAAAAGAATTGCATACCAAGTGAACGCCAAATAAAATGCGCATAATAGTGCGCAATATTATTAGTACTTTATAAATTTTACATGCGTTTTTTGAGAAATCGAAAATAGCGTAAATTACTACTTCCGTTCAACGGAAATTACACAAAATTTGACAGAAGGTAGAGAATTAGATCTTTTACTTACATGTGCAATTTCATTTATCTATCTGAAATAGTACTCAAGTTATAGGCTTTAAAAAAATTCAAAGTAGAAAAAAAACCACTTCTGGTTATCGGAAATGGATCAAAAGTTGATACGGATCTACGATTTTGATAAAATACTTATATATGAAATTTCATAAACCTACCTGTAATGGTACATTTATAAAGTACTAATAATATCCAGCACTATTATGTACATTTTATTAGGCGTTCACTTGGCGCGGAATTCTTTTTTTTTTATGAGATTCTATTCTATTATAAAAAGTTTAAGTAATTAAAAATGGATTACAAATACTGTCTATGTCCTGAGTTGCCATCCCTCGTAGTTTTATATTAGAATATTCGAGAAAGTTTAGGGGAGATCACTCCCGGTTTATTTTATATAAGGTTATTCGAGAAAGTTTAGGGGAGATCGCTCCCGGTTTATTATTTTTACAAACATGCTATTATATTAATACATGTATCCCTTATAATACATAATAATAAAATGAAAAGGATCTATCAAATAAATTAAATTTAAAAAATTGACTAAGAATCTTAAAATTAAAATCTGTTAAAGTCTATTTTTAAATCCACACGGCGACACAGAAACAGATAAGTAATATAATGATACAGTGTAAACATGGTAGGGAGAAAACAGACTACACTCAGCTGTCGGTAACGTCTGCAAGATGAACCTAAAACGGTCAATATGGTGCCGTCATATCTTATTTGTCGGCATTTTTAATCTGCCTCTAGGACCTGTTGCTAGTTGAATACGATGTTTACAGGGTCATCGCCTCAACACTCTCAGTGTTCCCCGAATTACTTGAACTGAGACCGTTACAGCTGTCCACGAGAGTGGCCCTAGTCAACGCCTGGTCAACGCTTCACCTCTCTCTCTAGCCAACGCCTCAACTCTCTCCCTAATCAACGCCTCAACTCTCTCCATAGTCAACGCCTCACCTCTTTCCCTAGTCAACGCCTCAAATCTCTCCCTAATCAACGCCTCAACTCTCTCCATAGTCAACGCCTCACCTCTTTCCCTAGTCAACGCCTCAAATCTCTCCCTAATCAACGCCTCAACTCTCTCCATAGTTAACGCCTCACCTCTTTCCCTAGCCAACGCCTCAACTCTCTCCCTAGCCAACGCCTCAACTCTCTCCCTAGCCAACGCCTCAACTCTCTCCCTAATCAACGCCTCAACTCTCTCCATAGTCAACGCCTCACCTTTTTCCCTAGCCAACGCCTCACCTCTTTCCCTAGTCAACGCCTCAACTCTCTCCCTAGCCAACGCCTCAACTCTCTCCCTAATCAACGCCTCAACTCTCTGCCTAGTCAACTCTTCAACTCTCTCCCTAGCCAACGCCTCAACTCTCTCCCTAGCCAACGCCTCAACTCTCTCCCTAGTCAACGCCTCAACTCTCTCCCTAGTAAACGCCTCAACTATCTCCCTAGTCAACGCCTCAACTCTCTCCATAGTCAACGCCTCACCTCTTTCCCTAATCAACGCCTCAACTCTCTCCCTAGTCAGCGCCTCAACTCTCTCCCTAGTCAGCGCCTCAACTCTCTCCCTAGCCAACGCCTCAACTCTCTCCCTAGCCAACGCCTCAACTCTCTCCCTCAGCATAGTTTGAAGTGTTAACTGTTTGGCTTCTCCCTGTGGATGAATATAAAAAAAAATAAATAAACCGGGAGTGATCTCCCCTAAACTTTCTTGAGTCTAATATATAAAGTTCAATTCTGTATGTAAAATGTTTGTAAAATGTGTGTATGTAAATGTTTGTCGTGGATACTTAGATGGATTTAAGTGTTAGATTATTATAGTACTCATGGTCTAAATTTATGAGTTAAAAAATTACTATTGAAAGTGTTGGGAAATAATTTTCATTTTTCAAACTGATAGTAATAATTGTCGGCATGTTCATCAAACAGAATTTTTAAAAAAGTATCAAACATTTTAATTATGTCTGAAAATTATTTATATTTAGTCCTTTAGCACTTATTTCCCTTTGAAAAATGAGGAAAACACAATTACTTCCCTTTATAAAACATTGCATTAGTGGAAAAGAATGTACTTTTTATTACTTTGTTTTGGTGTTGGGAAAAAAATAATTACATAAATAGCGGGGATTGATCAAGTGCAAATGTTGTAGGTATTTTACGGATAAGCTTGGAGTATTATAATTGTTCATTATATTGAAACAGGCGCGTCCGCCGGCGCCCCACCAGGGTTCAATTTGGCGCCCTGGGCTATCCTGTGAGCGCTATGGTGCATAATTTCGCTTTAAACAGTGCGATAGACTATGGATAAGAAAGGTTAATATAATCTTTAAGTGAATCGAATCCGGGCGTCCTCTGGCGCCCAAAAAGGGTGCTATTTGGGGCCCCGGGCCTCCCGTGTTCGGTTTGGCGCCTACATTCGTTTAAGTGAGTGCAAAAGGCTATGGATAAGTTTGGGTACTATAGTCGTTTATTAAGCTGAAACAGGCGATTCTGCCCCGGGCTAGACTGTGAGCACTTTGCGTTTACGTTCGCGTTAGTGTTTTCTTTGTGTTTAGGTTGGGTTTGCGTTAGTGGTTGCGTTTTGATTTGGTTCGTTTTTGTTCTTTCTTTTTTCATTTTCGTTTGTGTTTTTTTTTCTTTGGGTTTGTGTTTGTATTTGTGTTTATAGTTGGTTTTGCGTTTGGATTTGGTTTGTTTTCGTTTGCTTTTTCGTTTGTGTTTTTTCTTTGGGTTTGTGTTTGTGTTTGTGGTTGGTTTTACGTTTGGGTTTAGTTTGTTTTCGTTTGTTTTTCGTTTTTTTTTCTTTGTGTTCGTATTGGTGTTTGTGGTTGTGGTTGGGTTTGTTGTTAGGTTTTTGTTTTCGTTTGTATTTGTAACTGTGTTAGATTTATGTTAGCGTTTTGATGTTTTGGTTTTGGTTGGTTGTGGTTTGGGTGGGCAATGCTGGGTTTATGATGATTACTAAACACGCAGGTAATGGTCCTTAACAGAAAGGTTTTTCACAGAAGCCAGAGCAGGGCCTGGCCGGGACGGCTAGTATCCTAAAATATAATAGACCATGTGCGCACTTCTCTCTCTCTCTCTCTCTCTCTCTCTCTCTCTCTCTCTCTCGTCCGCAAAATATTTTCGCCGGACATCACATCAAAATCAATAGCGGTATATGGAGGACTGGATACGGCCTTTTGTTGAAATAAATATGTTAGATGTTTTAAATGTATAACCAACATTTTATTTAAAGAAGAAAAATAAAAAATAAAGGCGTATTCGAATGTGTAAAAAACAGTTTTAATTATGCAACAGGAAAAGCGTTTATAGTTGTGAAAAAGAATGCATATAACAGTGATGTCACTAATGTTTATACATTAACTAATGACGTCATCTGCCGTGTTTAGAATAAAAAGAAATGAAATATTTCATTCAAATATTATTTAGATCTACGTACGCTA